AGCCTTATCTATTTTGATAAAATATATATTAATTATCTATTTTGATAAATGTATATTAATTTCCTTAGGGAATGCTGGGAGACATAGACCAGGTCCACATCAACATGTGAATGGTGATGTCCACCATTGAGGTCAGGGCATGAAAAATGAGAAGAACGGGGCATTTTTTGGGATAGACTGACTTATTCCCACGTAGGCAGCAACCACTAGGGCAAACACCTGTGACTCCAAAGACATTATTCTATATCACGGCAGTCCTGATGGGAAGAAAATGGGGAGGAGACGTTTTCATAACTTATATGTGAGTCACTGCTCTGGAAGGTCACAGATTCTGACTGCGGGACACCCGGGGCGGACCTGGGGAGGAGAGCATGTCAGGTTACTCCTGGGGGGGGGGGGGGCGGCTGAATAATGGATGTGTTCTTGCATTGCCTAAGGCTAATTTATTATTTGAGCATCCCATTGTTTTCACAGGGCTACTGAAGTCAAGGCTCCATGGCTGGCTATCGGCGTGGGGGGGTGGGGGGGGTTACCGGGCTGTTGCTCTGGAGCTGTTGTGTTTTCTCTCCAAACACGCCAGTCCCCACCATGCTCCCCTCGTCTCCCGATAACACTTTTGGGGGTTATCGATGGGGGCAACACAGATTACAAGGCTTTAAATCGTATTCACATTATTTTTTCTAGCAGGATTTGGAGCCATTTTAAATTTTCAAACAGGAAGCAGGACTTTTCAGGAACATAGGGAAGCCTGTCACTTTTTCTGACCGTGAACTTGGCTTTGTGTTCAGGCTTTGCTCAGGGCAGCCCTTTCTGACCGTGAACTTGGCTTTGTGTTCAGGCTTCGCGCAGGGCAGCCCTTTCTGACCGTGAACTTGGCTTTGTGTTCAGGCTTAGCGCAGGGCAGCCCTTTCTGACCGTGAACTTGGCTTTGTGTTCAGGCTTCGCGCAGGGCAGCCCTTTCTGATCGTGAACCTGGCTTTGTGTTCAGGCTTCGCGCAGGGCAGCCCTTTCTGATCGTGAACCTGGCTTTGTGTTCAGGCTTCGTGCAGGGCAGCACTCCTTGTTTTGGCATAGATCTGCACATAGCAACAAGAGTGTGTCATGTAATGTGAGCAGGAAGTTTTCTTTGGGTATCGCTGTAGGTTGACGGCAATAACACAGCCGAAACCATGTAGCGACATTTCCTACTGGAGTGGCCTTTGTTTCAGCAACAATACGAGAAAGGTCATGCTCTATTTGAACATTTGAACACCTTCATAGCACTTGTTAGATCATTTCGCACCGTAATATATGTGCTGTATACTCATTAGGCCCTATACTCGCAGTATATTCAATGTGGTGTAGGATGTCTGCACGGTTTTTTGGTTTCATGACCTGCTATTCATAAGAAAAACCCTTTGTAAGTTTAGTGTAAATGCAAAAAGAAATTATTCCCTACTTGTGGTTAATGTTTTTGCCACATTAAAAATAAGTGTTCAAACAGCTGACCAGACTTCCCTGGATATTTTGTTCCAAATATTCGTGGAATGTGCATGCGATTTTCCTAAACATGTCATAATATTTGTGATCATGATAATTTGATTGGAGTGAGACCACTTGATTGATTAGGACACTGCATGAATGGGGTAGCAGTGGGATGACTCAGGACAGTGCCACCCCCCCACCCCCCCACACCTAATTCCTAATGTTTCTGTCACTTTGCCAACAGCTCCAGACTGGAACCTGCACATGAAGGCCCAATTTTCTCAAGATACTGTCGAGTCTACACTTAGGCAAACACTCCCTTAATGAGCCTAATCCATTCTTCTGCACCCTGGGGGGGGGTCTCTCTGTTAATTCATTAATATCAGGTGGCAGCCAAAGGGCATGCTCTGGGGTGAAACATGCTCTGGGGTCGTTAACGAGCAACAAGTGCCAATTAATCGTGTCTCGCCGAGGAAAATATCCGTACGCGGCACAGGAATCATTCCAGTTAAACTTTTTTACCTCGATATCCCAGTGCTGTCAGCAACCAGCTCTGTTGTGAAACAAATCATCCCAACGGAGCCGTTGATAAACGGTTTAATTTTAACATTACGCTGTATTTTTCATCTGTAGGAGAAATGGCTTTTGAAACTTTTTTTGGATGTACAAACTCACACACGTCCAAACATAAATAATGGAAAATAATGAAGCTGTTATTGCTTTTTCCCCATTTGTTAGCATTTAATGTGAACGTTGCACTTTATAGACAAAGTGAAAGTAATGAAATGTTGCTGCAGGTTGTGGGAAAATAATCTTTGGAAATCTAGGGTGTACAAAGCTGCAGGCATGTATGATATCTTACAGTCTCCTACCCTGAAGTAGAAGGTCACCAGGTAGTATAGCTCAACCTTCTGATACCTCTATGAACCTGTAAGCCACTTACACTTGTGGGTCTACAGGTCACATGTGGGGATTGTAACCTGTTCTGTAACAACCGCCTTCTGCTTGTCCGTAAGAATGGCTTTGGGAAAGTGGGGGCTGGAGGGCGTCCCATTTGCTCAGACTGCGGCTCAGACACGACACCGTGCTGCACTGCATTGTGGGTCCAGAGAGAGTTCGTCAGGGGGCCAGCGGCAGACCTGCTCCCCCATGACCCCAACCTGGCAGATGTGCCTCTGTGTGCCTCGCTGACCTCAGCTATCAGACCCCCAGCACACCATGGAGACTGGAGCTCTGAAACTGGATCCACCAATAGTGAGGCGCCCCCACTCCCTACCGCCAATGGGAATGACAGAAGGGACACCTGGCCCTAGACAGAAGCTGCTCTGTCAGTTTGCAATTTTAATTTACAATATTCATGTTTTTCAATACCCATGCAAAGCTTCTTTAATGCATAATTTACCTCTAATGCAACTTCAGTTTACCTGGTTGGATAATTATGAGCAAATAAAGGTTCTAAGTTCTTCTAAAAAGATACTGTTAAATCCCACAGGCAAACAAGCGCATCCAATTAACTCTAATTAGCATTTCCACCTGTCAATCCACCTGTTGATCTCCGTATTTAAGTCCTACAAGCTCGCTGCTCCTGTGGAAAGCCAATCTCATGGTGTCTCCTGAGCAGTTTGTCTGGCTTCTTAGGCTCTTCTGACTCTGCGATCCATGGCTATTCCTAGTTTCACTCTGCCTCACAGCCTTTGAACCTTCCCTATGCGATTTCCTCACTTGTACCATGTTCTCATAGGACTGATCCCCCAGTTATTGAACTCTCCACCTCCGCCATCAAGACCCCAGCCTGCCGACCTCTGTGCCTGTTTGCCAGTTTTACTAATAAACCCCTGGTTTTGGTGTCAGGGTCTCCCAGACTGTTCATTCCTGCATTTCTTTCGTATGTATAATAATGCCGATTCACATGCTACTCTACAATGATACAGTGCCACAAATCTGAAAGATCTCAGCCTGTCAGTGATGCAGCTGGTATCCTTTGGTTTCCCACCATTGAGGCAGCAGTTACAACAAGTCCAGAAGCTACTCCTGTTCACTCTTATCCTCTAAGAGCAGTCGGGAATGGAAAGGAACACAGCCTAATGCTAGAGCGTGTATTTGCAAGTTATATGTGAAAAAATATACTTCTATTGCTTTTTATTGCCATTGTTTCCTGGTGTATGAACAGGTCGTAGTTGAAAAATATGGTGCTTCCTATGAGATTATGGCTTCTAATCGTAGAATCTCTGTTTTCATTCACTCCTAGTACACCGTATGCACGTTGCAAGTCCAAGAATCATTAGAAATACTCCATTTGCTGTAATGTTTAACAGCAGCTCTCTATCTGAACCCAGTGTCCTGAAAATTATATCCACTGAACCCTTTCTGAAGGGAACAAAATTTCAGCCCCTGGATTTTCAATATTTCTCCCCCAAATAAGCACTTGTCTATTCCATCGGTTATGTTTCACACAAGTTCGAAGAGCAGACAGAGCAGAACATAATCATTTATATGCCAAGGTCTCCTTGTGAATTGCAACACTATTCTAAAGTAAATGTGTTTGGTGTGATAGAGCAGGAACTGTGATTCCCAGAAGTTATTTTCAAGGAGACTTTCCACATATACACGGGAAACAGCTAAGACCCTGAATTCCGGATGCATAACTGGGTTTGCTTCTTGATCGAATCCATCCCAGTCCTCCAGCCTTCCTTCCGCTGGAAGAGATATTAGCACATTCACTTGGACCTGCTGTACACAGGAATGCATTGCAGATAGAAATACCATGTAGTCATTAAATAAACAATCAGGAAAACAGATTGGGAAATATAATGTGTTTTTTTTTTTTCCAAAGCTTTGGTCCCATATGTCAGCAATTTGTGGGCATTGTGTATTTTGGCCAGGACCATGGGTTCATGATGGATGATGGGGGGAAAAAAAAATCACAAACCACTGGCCTTAACGCAGACATCCAAATTGCTTTCAGCTGATCGCTTCATTTCAGTGGATATTTATTGAGTGGATTACCGTACACCTCTGTGTTTACCGCTGCCAAGGAGCAAATAGGAGAGGCCAGCTGTCAGGGAGACCAATGTTATTTTTCGTCTTAGTTGGTTAAATACACAAATTTAAACGAGGGTAGTAAGTACAACAACTGATAGGGTCTGGCCACATGGCACCCAGCTATGAAGAGGTGATGGGCCGTTCATTGAGCCTTGAATGGTAAACTCTTCCCATATGACAGCACCATAGACTTGTCTTACTGATGCCAAAGCATCACACTACAAACCCCCAAGGTCAGTGTCTTGAGACGGCAGGCTAAGTCGCATTCAATCTTCTCCCTTGATTACAGCTTAGAAGAACATACAGAAAATGCGAGTGTTTCCATTGTCTGCTTTAGAGTGGGCTGGATCTGTTAGGCAGAAACATCAAAGAAAACGTACATTATTCATTCTCAGATCAAGAGTTTCTGATGATGGCAGGTATTCTTGCTCCTGCATTTTTTTTTTTTTGTGGTGTGCGTGACCACATCTCAGTCATCTTCCCCCAAACTAATCCCCAACGTTATGCACGGTGTGCTTTGACGAGAAGCTGAGATTCTCTGGCCAGGTCCTGCTAGAAGGCTGTTAGAATTGCTTCATAGAGTGCGAGTCATCCTGACGTAGCTGCAACTGCTGAATGAGCGGAAATGACAGAGCCTCAAGCGACGTGAAGGACGCCAAGGCCTGATAGAGCTCGTCAATGATTTAGAAAACTACTTAATCTAGAAACATACCATTTTCATTTGAAAACTCCCCTTTGATGTCGATGCCATCAAGAAAGGACGTGTTTGAGGTTTCAGAATGTTACTGATTGATAGTAATTATAATGCTTCCCCTTTAGTGTGGTGACCACATATCTGTTTGTCTTCCCTTCTTCCGGGCAGCTGATTGGAGGAGACAGACTCCCAAATGGTTTCTGCATCCCTTTAGTTCATAGAGAAGCTGCTTGCTGCACATGCATCAAGGGGAACACAACAAGACCGCATGTTACTGATAAGACATCATCATCAGACTTAGCTGATGAATTTCATATACAGTTCTTTGCAGCTTCCAAAAATGTCTTCATTCATGACAGGGACACACAAGCATAGCCAGGAATGACTGAATAAGTAAGAACTTGCTTGTGATTTTCTTGGCTTTAGGAAAAGATCATTAGGAATTCCTGGTATGATTATCATTATTTGCATTAATTTCACAGGCTTCTAGGGTCTGTATGTATCATTTTACTGATAGTTTCAAGAGAGTGATTGAGACTTCAGAGCCATTGGGGAGCCCTGTACTTTAGTTCTCCTTCATTTTGCCACCTTTCAACCAATCAGAACACTTGTAACAGATTAGTATAATGTGTTTTAGCACCAGGTTACATTAATTCAGATACACGTCTTGCTTACCACACGCACCGCAATACATGGCTGTTGTTTTGTTTTTTTCCTCCAGCAGCTGCGGCCAACCATATTTCAGCAAGGTGGGGAAATAATTTTCCCCTTTTCTCCAAGCATTGTTTTATCCCCTGTGGAAAATACAGGAAAGGCATTTCGTAACGACTACTGCTGTAAAGCTGCACTATATCAAATGCGACCTGATTGACTGCTTGTGCCGATTATGCCAAAGGAAACACCCTTTTCAGACTGGCACATTTGGAAAAGGGGAGATCAACTACCTATTCAGGTAACTCATCGCGGGAGGAAAATGGTTTCCTTTCGGCAGCTCGTATCTGCCTGCGGTGACCTGGGTGACTCCTAAGTGGCAGAGCGCCCGCCCAGTCAGGGTGGAACCCCCCCCCCCCCCCCCCCCCCCCCC